GAGCATTGTTTCGCATTGGATATATACGTACCTATATAGAAAGCGATATAGAAAGTTTGTAACGATAGGTAGGACTTTCGTCGAGAATTACATCATTTTGGAGGCAGAAATGCTGAAGCCAGTAAGGTGAGCCGTCGAAAGAAAGGGCGAAAAAAACAGAGGTATTAAAGAAATGAAGGGAAGTGGGCGGGTATGATCGTATGAGGCATCAAAGGAATGCTGCAATGCAAAAGTGTGAAGTCTGTTACACCACTGTAAGAATGGCAACGAAAGAGGAGCAAAGGTGAGAGCAGATTGATAACAATAAGCACAAACAAACACAGAGCGGTAGTAGACCTTAGCTTATTTGGTTCTGTTGCTTCGATCGATAGTTAGCTGTTCGACACTCTAACTGTAAGCCAAACTGCTAGTGTGTTTCGAAACTTATACACCCTATCTGTAATACACGTTCTATGAAACATCACTAATTGTCGGATGCCAAGAGTATGCACGAAAGGGAAAAGTTAGATTTGAGTTATTGTGGGCGTTGATATAATTTATTTGAAGATTCACATGTCAAATTATCAAAGTTTAACAATAATCAACATAAATCTGATGCGATCTTCAGTACTCCTCCTCGGCCGGGTCGAAAGAGTCGGCACCCACTTCTTCGTAGTCCTTTTCAAGCGCTGCCATATCCTCTCTTGCCTCCGAAAACTCGCCTTCTTCCATTCCTTCGCCAACGTACCTACAGAGCAGCGGAATGTTAACAATCTCAAAGCGTGCAAACGTCGAAATTGAAAGCATAACAAAGCATAACAGTGGGAGTTGGCGACTTGTCATCAGGCCCGTGTAAATTGATGCAAGCAGCATAGCGATCGCTTCTTTGAGGAAGAACTGCGCGCACGATTTCTTATGGGAAGACCAGGTCAGGCCCGTGTTGGCCGTGTTTCGACTTTTGGAATCCACCGACTAATTCCCCTAAGCACTCATGTGAAGCCGTTCCCCCTTTCCTCTCCTCTCCTACTGCCTGATAAAATCCTTGCTGCATTGAAATTAGTACTAGGTATTATTTACATGAAGCTTAAACTAGCCATCACGAAATCAAATCTAGGATCAAACAATAGATAAGCGAAAAATCACTGACTCAAGCATACCGTGGGCAACTACACGGGCTAATAATGCAGCTTGCAAGGCAGATTTTAGACGGAAGCAAAGGAGGCCATCTCCACTTCGAGTTTTATAATGGTGGCTTAGATCGTGTAGCTGGCTACCAATCTCAGTTCGGTCCACCAGATTAAAGAATTCCTGCATCTCGAATTAGCAGTTGTTCGATAGCCATTTGAGAGAAGGGGTTATATTAGATTAATAATATTGAATTGTGTCACATTCGAATGCCACTTTCCATGATTAGAAGTTTATTTTGTATCGCACTTCAGAATGAACTGATCTAGACGAATTGGAATCTGACGCGTGATTGTTGAATCATTTGCTTCACTTTAATAAGAAAGCAAGGCCTGGCATGCCAGAAGAGTTTGGAACGCGCATCTTACAACATGCATCTAGACTAGGCAAACATTCTCTGTGACCTTAAGGCAAACTCCGGGATAAAACGAGGGACTCACCTGTTCGAGTATGAAGAGCTGGGTGCTAAGTTGATCGAAGGTAATGAAAAAAGCAGGAAATACCTCCAAAGAACTCCAAAATTAGAAATTCCTCTTCGTTAGTCGCTTACGAACCAGGGCTGGGAAAATTACGTGTTTGGACATGTCTACAGCAACTGTTGGCTTTGTGCCATCAACCGACACGGCCACAAAAAGTCAGCAATGAAAACTGATTTTTTCTAGTTTCCCTATTTTTTCTATTTTTCTGTGCTTTTTTGTTTGCTTCCTATCTTAAAATTTTTTCTTCTCACTAGAATGATGACAACGTTCTCGAAAATGGTCGTAACATAGGCTTTGATGTTGATTTTCGCAGTTGAAATCCGCTAAATATTCCCCTACGACTTTCCAAACAACGGCTTAACATCTAGCGTTCCAGGTGGTTGTTTGGAAGATCACGTAGGACGGTGGGCGGGCTCAATGGGGTTTGGGGCGGCGCCAATGCTCCAACCTAGGCTCCTAGCGCCTAAACCTTATCAAAACGCTCCACCACTTCTGCACATGGTCTGCCCTTGCGTACTGCTGCATATTTGACGGGGAAAACCCAAATTTTGCCAGAAATCCCGGAATTTGCCTTTAAGAACTTCTCTGCACTATCTGACTTCTACATTCATACCTCTTCGTATAATAACTCGGCGGTCAAAATGGAGATCGAGGGAGGGCATTACGTTGTGCTACCCAGTGCTAAAGATAAAAATAAAAGCGCTCACTCGTAATTTTTTAAGTTAGAGTAAAGTTGAGATGAGTACCGGTGTATTGTACTGATGATGTTCTTCGATGCTCCAAAGGAAACAGTCTTGAACCATTGAATGGCAAAATGTTCGAAATGTACGACACTCACCGCTCCGTATCCAATATACTTTTCAAATGGGTCGTTTAGGTAATATCCTCGCCTGAGTACTAGGGTCTTAGGCTCTGTCAAGCATGAGGCTAGGCAATTCAGCGTTTTGTAGTGCTGTCTGGGAGCTCTCACACATGCGCACTATTACAGATCTCTGCTTTCTTTATTTCCTTCTGAAGGCTTAGCCCCAATACCACACAAAGTGTATCTTTTCCCATCTACTCTCTCACCCTGTGGTTGACGGAAGCCTTGTAACCAAGTACTAGAGAGCCTAACAGAGTGCTCAGTAGTACTTATAATAGGATTACGAAGAGTGACCCTCGAGCTCCATTTTTACCTGACTGAGCTCACACTTCGAGGGCATGACTAATAATAAGTGTTGGGGTTTGTGAGGTGGAAAGACCCAAATTCTTACACTCGAATTCAATTACCAGTTAATCGATATGGTTACCTACTTCAGCAAACTTCAGCAAAAAACGTGAAACGACACCGCTAGATATAACTGTTTGGGGTAATACTGCCTTCAAGAAACTTTTCTACCATACGTTCAACTGTGGTTCCATTTTTTTCTTTTACCAGTCACTTTTTTCATATACATGTGTAATGCATGAAATAAAGAAAGATGTGCTGACAAAAAAAAAATTTGTACCTCAAATACCAAATTTTTAGGAGGTTATCATCCTCATGAAGCGCACGTGGGAGCGAACTCATCCATATTTCTAAAAATGTCAACCTGACAATATGATCTTACCAGTGCACGAAGGCTCGTTTTGCGTACATCAAATCGAACTTGTGATCGAGACGAGCCCATGCTTCCTGCAAAATATATTACAGTGTCAGGAAGGACCTGAAAATGTTGGACATTGGTCTTTTTCATGAATAGCCTCATATTCGTTGTCGACAATGGGCCCAGAAGTGATCAAGGGTGTGCAATGTGTTCTTCCTTCCCTGCAGTATATGGATACCTGACAGGAGGCCCGCCGCGCAGCGAAGCTGAGAAGCAGACGGGTCAGCGGACGAGTCGCAGAGCACACTGTTGTAATTTGCGTCAAGTTAAATAGATTGAATTGGAGCACGTCCCGCATCGGACAACACGCGCTGCACTTGTCCTCTACCCCATCTGCGTCTCTGCCTTCTCGCCACGCGGCGGGCCTCCTATCGTGTACCTGAAGTATCGTTCGACTAGCTGTAAGTAGCTACTGCTGCCCGTTTATGTTTTCCTTCTTCCCCAGTCCAAGCTTTTTCTAAATTTTTCCTTTGCTTCCTCGATCCTCTTTCAGTTCAGCGGGTAGAGGAAGAGGCCATCTCAAGCACAATTAGGTCAAGGATTTGATACATAGATACTACCGACACCTTAGTTGGAACCGGTCACCTTTTACATCAATTCGTTGTTTTAAAGTCAATTCATAATTTTAAAATCCATAAAGGCTTTTACTGAAGTCTTTAGGAAGCATTAGCTTTTGGTTCACCTGAATAGCTGTTGTGTTAGACAGCATGCATACAGCACGCTGCACTTTTGCAAGGTCACCATTCGGAACCACCGTCGGTGGCTGGTAGTTGATGCCGACTTTAAAACCAGTTGGGCACCTTAAAAGAAGAACTTAGTGCTGCTTCGCTATTTCCAGCACAGATTGACACGAACCAGTCCACAAACTGAATGGCCCGCTTTGTCTTGATCACAGCAATTGCAGAATTGATGTCCTGAAAACAGAAGTGTTCAATTCTCACGATTAGCACGAATAATTGCGTGATGGGGGGTAACTCGACTACCATAAGGAGCATCTAGCTGAAGGTGTATGGCCACTCGAATCAGCATGCTTTCAACTAACCTTTGGCACAACATCTCCTCTGAACAGCAAGCAACACGCCATATATTTCCCATTTCGTGGATCGCATTTAACCATTTGACAACCAGGTTCAAAGCAGGCGTTGGTGATCTCAGAGACAGTGAGTTGTTCATGATATGCTTTCTCGCTGAAAAAGACATTCGGGTCGTTTCATATGCCGGATTGGCAAAAATTGCGGATACAAGGCTGTGGGTTGAATTCCACTTTAGGCCTTTCTCACGGTACCTCCGCTACTATATGCAAGAAGTTATCATCCTCACGTGTAGAACAGAGATCTAGTATGGGATATGCATGTACAAGATTTCCAGATTTTTTTTGGAGAAAGTTTGTGATAGAATTGAATATTTTGATTGGTGTGGAAAGTTTCGGCCGTATCAAACTGTGCAGTGCAAACCGACTAAAATAATGAAGGGTATGGGATGCCCCTATCTCATCGTAGAAAAGGAGTGCAGACATTAGCAGATGTACTTTTCAGGAAGTTAGAACGCAATGAACTGGTGAAACTACTAAATCCTCAAAGATGTTTCCAGACTCAAGGAGTCGGGAGATGCATCCAGCTCAAACAGGATTCTTTTCGAAAAGGCCCGTTCATACCGGTTCTCATGCTCACAGATCCGTTTATTACCATGTATGCAATAACAAATTGATCTGTGAGTGTAGCGGAGCGACGGTGGCCCGCTGGGCGCACCGCGCGCCCCGGCCCACTTGCGCTCGGATGCCAATGCGCACCAATGCCATTTGGCCACGCCTCCCTGCGGTCGAGGCCAGTCAGTCGGTCGGCTACGTGCGCCGTCCGCGCGGCGGTGCTCGTAGAGGCTGGCCACCGGTGACAGGTCGGTGTTCACCGGGCAACGCGATGAGGCCAGCTAAGGCGAAGGGGCACGTCGCTCCGTAGTCCATGTTGGCGGAGCGCCTGTCATCCCAAAGCCGGTCGTGTCCTTCCCCTGCTCCCCGTCTGGGAGCAGCCCTTACAACATCCCAGATAGGACACGTCGGCCGCATGGAGCCCCCAGAAGATACGAGCCAACGTGGGGGTTTAATACGTAGTGTCAGCTGGTGGGGCTCACCTCTGAGAGAGGTGACCCCGGGGAGTTCGAGGAGTTGGTGAGTTATTACGTCATAATAAATATTAGTAAATATAATTGTGTTCTCTATGTATTCTATGTGGGTTTACCCTAATTATATCTGGTTGTTGTGTGTCATAGGGTCAAATAGGGTGGTTTACCTAGGTTAGCCCGTCGGCCACTAGGGCGTAGGTTGAGCTGCCGACGGGCGCCCTGTGTCCCCGGGGGGAAGTTGGGTCCGCTCCTCCTGGTGGGCGCTCAGGAGGCAGCGTGGTGGGCTGATGGGCAGCTCGGCTGGAGGTCGAGTGTCGGGGAGCAGAGACACCGTTCGCGACAGTGAGGAAGGAATTGCCAAAGGATTGTACTGCTACGAAGATTTGTTTTTACTTGGTCTACACTGCCTCAATTTCAGGGAATATGGCCTAAATTCATTCAGGGGCAAAAAAAAGCAATGGTTGTCTAATACATAACTTTTTTGTTTCGTTGTTTCTTTGCCATGCAAGGCTTTTTCCAGTATTTCGTACCTTTTTTTCGGTACTTTTTGCTGGTTAAATAGCATTCCCGATGTGCCAAAAGTACACGCAAAATTAATAAATAAATAATTAATCCTAAACTTACGCTGATATAATGGGAGCGTAGGTGACAAGAGGGAAGTGAATTCGCGGATACGGCACGAGATTTGTCTAAAATTTCACTCACTATTGCACATTCCGAATCGTCCTATATTTACATCACATGAAAAAAATCACCTGGAACTCCGTGAGATCAACATTTAGTGCGCCATCGAATCGGAGGGACGCTGTGATTGAAGAAACTACCTGAGCGACTAGACGATTCAGATTCGTGTATGTCGGGCTGCAACAAGAACGATGATGAATACAGACGAGCTGTACGACATTGCTGAGTTGTGACTCACAGTGAGAGGAGATGAAATTATTTTCAAGCTTTGCTTTGTGGACTGCTAGAGAGAATATCGTGCTTGAGAATACCTGCCTACAGAGACCAACAAATGCAGGCACGCAATTTTTCAAAGAACGACTGCGAGTTGCGAGAAAAATCAGGATGTCCAGCCATCTTGGATCACACGCGTATCGATCAAAATGTCCTGCGACAGGTCCCACATTGTTACGAGACCAATAAACCAGCTACAACTTGGATTACTAAAGTACATATTCATGCTCACTCCAAAGAGTCGAACAGCTAACAAGCAAAAAGCTGCCCTGATCAAGAGGAAGTATCATACTTGGCATTTGGGGTGCTATTCATTTGAAAATATTCCAAATAAAATAATAATATTCCAAAATTTTAGTGGCCAAAAAGGAACTATTAGGTTGTCTCATATGTAGTGCCGTTTTTTTCGATCTAAAGTTTTCCTCTGAGTCCCCATGTTTTTACACCATGATGTTCGAAAGAGAATTGTCTGCTCTACAAGATGCTATGTTTCTCTTCCACCTTGTTCCAGGTTTTCAAATTTTAGGCCTGCGAAATGGGAGGTCCAGCCGACAAAAATTGACCAAACCGACAACTAGCTCTAACTTTATTTTCCCTTGGGAGAAATCAATCAATGATGTACCCTCTACTTACTCATGACCTCTTCTAACATTCCACCCTTAGGTTGCCGAAAAAGGTTTGCCGTGTTTCTTTTCGAATTGGCTGACCGATAAGCCATAGGCAATTTTCAAATTGAAATTCTTCCTCTGAAACGCCATTGTTTTATATCAGTGGTGTTTCTTTTGTGAGCACTTCTTCTGCTCTATTCGCTCATTTGTTTTGTTTTTATGTTTGTTGGGAATTAGTTCGAATTTTAGGTGCGCGGTAAGGTGCTTTGTCCACGAAAGTGACCGCATTTCTTTGAAAAAATTATCCTTGAGAAGATGAGAAAATCAACCAGGCGTACATTCCTAACTTAGTCATGACTTGTTCTTGAAATTCTACTAGTTTTTCAATGTCTCGGCTATAAAAAAATTTCGACCTAGATCTCAGGTAATGGTGCTCGACCGTCGAGTTCTGGTTGAAAAACCAGGTCTGGAAATGGAACGACGCGACTTGTTGGGAAACCTAATAGTGTAATGTTCAGAAGAGGTCATGTGTAAGTAGAGGGTACATCATTGATTGATTTCTCCCAAGGGAAGATAAAGTTAGAGCTAGTTGTCGGTTTGGTCAATTTTTGTCGGCTGGACCTCCCATTTCGCAGGCCTAAAATTTGAAAACCCTGAACAGAGGTGGAAGAGGAACATAGCATCTTGTAGAGCAGACAATTCTCTTTCGAATGGTATATGACATGATGTAAAAGCATGGGGATTTAGATGAAAATTTTTTGTTTGAAAAAAGCGACACTACTTATGAGACAACCTATTACATTGGCGGCTCAGTGCAGGTCGCCTAAAAGGAGGAGCAGAGGACTAATGAGCAGTTCCGTGATTGAACACAATGTGTTGTTGATTTTGCAAGGAAGTGTCCACTCAAAATCTGATAAGGCTTGGATTCCAGTGCCAAAAGTCGACTGAGGTACCTTTTTTGGCCACTCCTGTAGGATGAGGGCCCTTCGTCGGGAAATGAATCAGCGTTGGTTCTGACGTTTCAAGTGAATGCGTACAAGGAACTTATTCATCTGTTTAAACAAAATCTACTCACTCTTTATGATTCACAGGAATGCTTGATTACGAGCAAAAATACAACGAAACGGGGCCCCGGAAGTGTAATTTGTACCACATTCACCCAGTAAGCGAGAGGTGCGGGTTCGAGTCCTGCCTAGGGCGAAAGTTTTCTTAACACAGCAGTCTTGTGAAACATTTACACCGAAGTGCGACGTTAGCATCAGTTAACAATTAAAACAAGTCACCTTCTTATGTTCAATTTTGCTATCGAAATCTCGTAGATGGCTTCGTTGTCAAGCATGAAGGAACAATCAGAGTGTTCAAGCGTGGTATGTGTGGTGAGCAGAGAGTTATACGGCTCCACCATTGCTGTAAGAGTTCTGTATACACTTCCATACACAAATTACCCACACTGCTACCCATAATTATAACTCCACCTAAGAATTTCCAAAATCTCACAAATTTAGATGTTTTAGAAAAAGTCTCAATGTGGCAGTGTGTCAAATACAAATACGAAATTGCCTATAACATCAACTTCCAACTTGAGATCCCAGGAATTTTTTCTAATAATTTTTGTTCAAAAGGCCACTTAGCCGACGTCCCAAAATTATTGGGTTGTCTCATAATTCCTGTCGCATTTCTATTCAATTTCAAATTCCTTCCGTCTAAGACCGTTTCATTGCGAAATACGTTAGTATGTTGAAGTATGCTTCAAGAGCCTTAACAGCATGGTTTCGGAAGCGCAAGCCCTTAACGGGTTAATCAACTAGGAATAAAAATAGGTCAGTGACTATAATGAATGATTATGCTTTACGATCCTCAAATGAACTCTGTAGCAAGGAGGACAACAGAGAAGATCAGCGCTGTGTTTGACCCAGTCTCTGCTACTGATAGGGTACTGAGCTAGTGGTCCAATCGCAACGGCAAAGACGAAACGAGCTATGAACTTCAACCTCATACTGGGCCTGCGGTCATTTTTGATGAGCGCCCCTTGCACCCTAAATTGGGAGTGCCTCCGCACGTTGCTACCAGGGTATTGTAGCAGATACCTGAGCGCAGCCGATGCACCAGCAAACGCCATCAGTATGGCAAGACTGCTGCAGAGTGAA